TATATATATATATATATATATATATATATATATATATATATATTCATATATTTGGGGTAGGGGTAAATTAAACTCATTCGCCTCACTGTGTCTCTTGTGTTTTTACAGGTACATGATGTTGATAGATGGAAAAGACGAAGTCTATATTATTGACAGAGACAATTCGGTCTTTCACATAGCCAACCTGGAGTTTCCTTTCCGGAAGGATCTTCGCATCCACCTTTCCAACACGCTTCTAGATGGGGTGAGTTATTGCATGGTTTGAAAGCCTGTTAATCAGGTTAAACAGAGAGGAAGCACTCTATTCCTACACTTAATGGATGCTCACAGGATTGGTTTTCATGAGATAGTCAAAAATAAGGCGGTGTTGTTAACTAATGTAGCTTTCTTTAAATGATAAAGATGATCTTGCTCTCAGAGCATTTATCAGCTCACTCACAACATCATGGGTTGAAATGCAGAAATAGCAAGTTTATTAATTAAGCAAGTTTTAATTAAGCATTTTTGGTCCAGGTTTTACTTTGAGTTAAGTTGTGTTCCACCACCTAATTTTAAAAATGGTTTAAATTAAAATGTGTGATTGTGATTGAAATGATGCCATGATGGAATCACTATTGCAGTAAACAGTAGAAATGTTACTATTTCATTTCATAAATGAGTGTCTATAATTGGGTTAAGCAATCATATTCATGTATACTGCCATTTAAAAGTTTGGGGTCGCTATCTTCTGCTCACCGGGGCTGCATTTATTTGATAGAAAATATAGTAAAAACAGTAATATGGTGAAATATTATTACAATTTAAAATAACTGTTTTCTGTGTGTATATATATATATATATATATATAAGCATGATTTTCATCTTGATTGTTTTATTTTTAATTCTGCTCTGGTGGCATACAGAGCCGAAATTCTGAAAATTGTGTCAGTGTCCAAATATATATATGGACCTAACTGTAATTCACAAGACATGAAAAATACTGGTATCAATTAATAGAAGCAAATAGTGGGATAAAAGTTGAAAGAGCACATATAATATGATGAGCATGTGGTGTGAGGTTCACGAATCAGCTGTGTCGTGTCCCTTTGACCGCTGTCCTGCATGTTCCCATAGTGCAGTAATGATCCGCTGTCTCTTCTTCCCATGCATGCTAAATCTGTCCTCTAATGTACCGCCCGTCCATGTCACCACCCAGATGAGACCCCTAATCCATACTTTTAATCATTTATGTGCATATGTATTTATTATAAATAGAATAGATCTCAGAGGCCTGCTCTGTCTGCCACTTTTAATTGTGCAGTCATGTCCTTTAAACCTCCACAGCAGCGAGCTTGAAGTTAATCCCTAACTGAAAACAAAAGGATTCAAGTTCATTTAAGGTCAATTAATTTAAAGTTAATTTGGATTTATCGTAAAATGAGGGGTTTAATGTGAAGCTGATTATTTTAATTATTCAATAAATCGTGACTTAATCTATGTTTAAGATCAGTCTGCAGGCCGTCCTGAGAGTAGTTTGGTAGTATATATGCCAAACCCCTCAATTTAAACTAAATTAAAACTAAACTAAAATGTTGAAGGTCCATGATTTTGTCGAACTGATTTGAATAGAAACAATGTCTCTTCGATGCATCATGGGTGCTTGCTTAAGTCCTAACCGTGATTTCAAAACAGCAGGTGAATTACGTGTTCACCTCGAGAACAAACCGACTTCACGAAAATCACTTTCATCATTAAACATAAGAGCGATCCATGTTCCCACTGGATTTATAAAATGTGCTTTTGACCAGTGTAAAGGTCACGGATCAGCATTGCCTGAGTACAGCTCACAGATCAATGTTGATTCATTGATTATTACGATTACTCTCTGCAGCCTTAGTCAAAACTTTTCTTTGTTTAACATTTTTGACAATCCTATATCGTTTAATATACAGGTTTAAATGAAAAAATATTACATTAATTTGTGTCTGTGCTTGAGCTTTAATGCTAAATATCTTATTTAGATTTTTGTAATTACATTGTTACATCATGTTGGTGTTCACAGGCTTGATTTATGGGCAATATATCTGCATTTCTTATCGTCGTCTTCTTGTTTTGCAGGAAATGATTATCGACAAAGTGAATGGGCAGCCCGTCCCGCGATACCTCATCTATGACATCATTAAATTTAACGTGAGTGCCTTTCAGTAACAATAACAAAAACACACTCCTGTTTGCGCTTTATTTAATTAAGAATTGCTTTTGGCATTAGCACATGCTAAGTTACCACGAGGTGTTTCAGCCAACATTTAAAATCATGCCATCTTTTATTATCCATCATATCATATCTCCAGATCTCTACGACTATCTTTTGTGAATCACAGAAGGAAAGGTTTAGTGTCAGATACTGTCAGCTCCAGAAAGAACCATCAAAATATAATAAAAGTAGCTCATATGACTACTTTACTGCCTCTCCGACTCATCTTCCCCTTCATTGCAGCTCTCAGATTTAATTCACGAATGTTACAGAAAAAAGGCACCTTTAGACACAGCAGGCTTGGATTTATTAATGATCTTCCTCTAATTAATAATTGTTTTTCTTTAGAATATGTGGAATATAGCACATGAATCAGGTGCATATTTTGTCTTTTCTAAAGTTTGTCTATATAAGTCCCTGCATAAATATTCTACAACATTTCTATTTTTGTTTGTGCACAGAAGAAGGGAAGTCATATAGGTCCCATTTTACCTCTATAATTGAACATATGAGTATAATAATGAGTAAATCTTTTGAGTTTTCTTGCATCATTTCCTGCTTCTTGAAGTGCAGTATCCATCAAATAAATCCAGGCAATCACATGATGCACAGTCTGCATTTGAGACAGGACGCTTGGATTTGTCTTGCTTGGTTACCATACTGAAAGGAACATTTTTCCAAAATGCAGCAGCTCTGATCCGTCATTTTTAAGATTGATGCCATAAGCAAGCAGTGTGTAAATATAGACGGCACATTAATTGAGCTTGTCCAACGATGTGTCGAAAGACTCAGTTATAGCGTTCGCATATGCACTTTGCATGTGTCATCAGCTGTATTTATTACATTTTTATTTAAAATATGAGTATATTAGAGACTAATGCAGATATGTTTCCTAAAGTGCTGTTTTGTGGAGCACAGCTGGAGTTCTCATCGACAAACAGCATGTGGGAGATCCTTGAGTTTGCTGTGTTTAGCTGCTCTCAACGTTAGTAATGCGGGCCGTCCTTGTTCTGAGAACAAGATTGTTATCGATTTGTAAACTAGAAGTGACCCGTGTCCCTCCACATGCTCTTCTCTTACTCCTCTTATGCAACATAATTTTTTAAAATATATAAATATATATATATTTATTAGGGGTGTAACGGTACACAAATATGACGGTTTGGTATGTACCTCGGTTTTGACGTAACGGTTCGGCATGGTTTCGGTACAGCAGGAGGGGTAAAAATTACATAAATTGCTTTTTTTATAAATTAAACAATGGTTTACTGAACAAATTGCTCTTTCTTTAAATATATTCAATTATAATTACGATTTTCTTAGGGATAAAAATCTACCTCAGCTTATGGTCTCTAAACTATAGTGAGCCCTTTTACATTACTATAAGGTTACAATTAACAACAGAGCCCAAAATTAAATTCAATTACTATTTATTTTTAACTATAATAATCAACACTCAAATTAAAAAAATTGTAGGCTATGCAAACATGTAAACTGTTTTTTTTAATTAACTTCTAAATTATACAATTTCTATTTGTTGTTGAAATAGGATAATTTACAGAGTCAACTTGTTTCATAAAATATTTAAACATACATTAAATAATTAAGATATCACTAACAGGTAAAGTAAAATATAATGAAGTATAGTCTAATATTTAGCAAAATGCTCTTCATTAGACTTAATTTCTCTAGCAAATAACGACACTGTACACTGATGACTAGCCTGAGGTAAATGAAATGCTATGTGACATTTTGTTTACGAGCGGTTTTAATGACGTCTTTGAAACACTAATTGAGCGATTACATGAAGCATGAGATGTTCATTCATGTTTATTTTGTGTAAAACTAGTAATAAAGAGGAAGGGATGATCATGCTCACTCTCACTCCGCGCTGCCTTTAGAACTAGAGATCGACCGATATATCGATTTACCGATATTTTTCCCGATTTTTAAGCATTTTGCAATAATTGGTTTTGTAATATCGGATTCACCGATAAACGCGCCATCTTGTGGATGTTTTGAGAATTGCGCGCAGGATCACCATTGCAGCGCATCTGAGGAGAAACAAGACAACAACGGCGTGCACAGGTACTTGATTTACTGTAGTTAGTAAACTTTATTTAACATAGCCATTAATGCACAAATTAGATGTATTACATAAATGCCTGATAAGCAGTTTATGCAGCTTGGCTCGAAGAAATAGAGACGAACTCATGGAGTCACGTAAAATAATCCGTCAAGTCCTGTCCCAATAAAGACGTAACTTTGCGTGAATTAAATAATATGCAGCCATGAATGGGCGCATGTTGGAAATAAAAGTGCTGAATTTAATTAGCTCTCTGTTGTCTATGTGCTCATCGTCTCATGAAGTCGGAGTCACGTAGGCTAAGATAATCCATCAAGTCCTCTCCCAATAAAGACGTAACTTTGCATTAATTAAATAATACAGCCATGTTGGAAATAAAAACGCAAAATTTAATTCTCTGTCTGTTGTCTATGCTCATCATTAATCTCGTGAAGCCACTTTCATATTGCTGTTCACTCAGCAGGTTGATGCTCAGGATTACATTTATTTTGCTTATTGATAATATTAGTGTTGCTGCTGATGCTTTAAATAAAATGTTTTTTTTTTATTGTTGTAATATGAACATTACATTTAACATGAAAGACTGCTAATTTTCAACACTTTTTTAAAGATGACTGAAAGGAGGAAAAACCAAAGTGAAGTATGGACTTACTTCACTCAGTCATTTATTTACTTTATAACAGTAAATAAATATCGGTTCTGCATATCGGTTATCGGGCACATAAACATGCAAATAATTGGTATCGGTATCGGTTATAAAATATCAATATCGGTCGATCACTATTTAGAACTGAGGGGTTTATACAGTGATCTGTCTCGCCACATCAAAGAGCGCCAAAACGGCATTTATTGTGTGAATTAAATGAAAAAATGGAACGATTTATTCAGTACACATGCGTACCGAATCGAAAGACCCGTACGGAAAATATTCGGTACAAATACGTGTAACCGTTGCACCCCTAATATATATATATATATATACTGTATTTTTGATCTGACTCTGATACATTTCTTAGGATTATTTGATGAATAGAAAGTTCAAAAGAACAGCAGTTTTTGAAATCATTAGTAATATTATAAATGTCTTTACTGTCACTTTACTGTCACCGATCAATATAGCTTTTGAAGAGAACAGTTCCTGTAATGTGAAGAGCTTGCGTTCTTGGACCTGTGTGGCATATGGTATGAAAACAAAGGATTGTCACTTTCCTCTTTCCTTGGCCAAGACGTCCTGTAGGTGCCATGAAGCCCCCTGCAGTTTTCTGGCCTGTTGAAGGTCTGTCCTGTTGGGCTTGGCAGGCACTGCCTCACCACTGCTTCCTCATGAATCAGTGTTTCCAAAATGATAGTTGCATCTCGCTTTGCTTTTTCTTTAGGGATATTGCATTTGATATGGCATTTGTTCTCACACATCTTCTCTATGGTCTTGTAATGTACCAGGTTACCTTGACAGAACTGGCATTTATATGCAGATTTGACTGTCTCTGTGACTATTTTCTGAAACTTAGTGAGCTGCTTCCCTAGACGGCATTTTAAGGCTTCGCAATCATGTGACACAAAGCCTGTTCTGAAAGTTAAGCGACATAATTATGCTGCCTTCTGAGTAGGGGTGTTTTCTCCGAGGAAGCAGCGGTGCCTCAGGAAAATTCAAATGAGAAAATAATTGAC